CGTTGGGGCGGCGTTGGGGCGTCAGGGCTTTGGTTGAGGTACATACCTTCAGGCCTTTATTTTCTTATCTCTGTGAAAAAAGACACATTTACTAACCCTTTGTAGTCACAGTTCACATATATTTCCTTTATTTTTTCCTTTTTGTTTTACAGTGTCCTTGCTCACCTTTTGTACTATTTTTTTCCTAATTCACCTTCAGGCCTTTTTTTTCTTATCTCTGTGAAAAAAGACACATTTACTAACCCTTTGTAGTCACAGTTCACATATATTTCCTTTATTTTTTCCTTTTTGTTTTACAGTGTCCTTGCTCACCTTTTGTACTATTTTTTTCCTAATTCTACATGTTGATGGAGGCATTTACACATGTGGGTGGTTTTTTTTCCAATCCTTTCTGTCCCTTACTCTACCTTTCCTTCTTATTCTTACTTTGCCCTTTTTCTCTGTTTTTTCCTTCATCTCTGCTTTTTTTTTTTCCTCCAATGTTTTGTGCACTCTTCATGCTATTTTGCTTCTGCAGTCTTACCTTTGCCTTGCCTACCTCCAGACATGAAGAAGAACAAGCAGTCAATTTCTTTTTTTCCTCCTTTCCATCTTTCTTCAGCACCTATAACCAAGACATTTGCTTGGACAAGTGCCCTTTTCCTCTCTCCTCCTCTTTTTTTTTTTTTTTTTTTTTTTTTTTTTTTTCCCAGTTCCTTATAGTTGTCTGACCTATGCCTTAGTGAGAGTCTTTGCCTTCCTCCCATTCATTAAGGGGGCTCAGGGTGCGTTATGCACCAACACATGCAGGCATGGCTCTGCCATCGGAAGATATCCCTCACTGTCCAACCACCCATTGCAGTGTCCTGTCCTCTTCTCCAGCCCAGCTCCCAGTCCTATTCCACATACTGCACTTGCAGAAGGGTGGCTCTGCAAGTACTGATCTAAACTCTTCCTTCCACCCAGTGCAGCTGTTTTGCCCAAGTCATTTCAGGTGCCATGATCTGAGGTGGTCCTTCCCTGCAAGGTGCTTGTGCGATTGCCTGCTACTCCCCCCCACCATTTGCCTTGCTGCAGATTGCACAGTTGAGGGTACATGCGTGCCAACACAGCCTCCCCAGGGTGCCTCCGTTCTCTGCATCCCCTCAAGCCTGTGACCTTCTCTGGGAGCAATGCTAACCCTCCCTCTGTCCGTTGCAGTCGGTCCTGTTTCAGTGCTCTTCACTGGACTGTCCGCTACGCATTGGGAGCTGCTTACCTGCACCCACCCAGGAACGCTTGTGCTACTTCTCCCCTTTCTCCGCCTGATGAGTTCCGCCTTCTTCTGGTAAGGCATCTCTTTTTTTTTCCCCCCCTTTCCAGTTGCAGTCTCCAGCCTACACGGGGGTGCCATGTGCACTTCTACAGTCACAGAAAAGAAAAAAAAAAAGCACAACTGGTTAGTTTTAATCACATGTTGTTATGCCTACTTACAGGCGTGGCGGGGTCATCTTTACTTCAGCACCATTTTCCCAAGCAGGCCACTGAGTGAGATGTCCAGCAACTCTCAGGCTAATAGAGGGGCAGCTGCAATTGTGCTGGTCACCGTTGCCTTGACACTGCTTTCAGCATGCTGGCTTGCCCTTCACAGACGCTAAAGCTGGCAGGCACTGTCATCTGCTGAGACTGCTCTTGCTCCGTGAGAAATTCCAGTCATACACTCTGTCATGACATACTGTGGCCTTACCAAACAACTGTCCCTTCAGCACTTGATTTTGGCCTGCAGCCTCATCCCTATTTCAGTCCCTCACAGCAATAGGGAAGGACACATACTCAGCTCTTGTCTTAAGACCTGCTGGCGGAGGATGCCCTGCAATTCGTACTTGCCAAATGATCACAGGGTATGGCTGAGATTTCTTCCACCCCCCCCCCCCCAACTATCTTGGGCCCCCACAGGGAGAGCTCTGTCCCCTACCAGCAGCAGGGACAGAAGCCCACCATGTGGACCACACTTTCCTGCAGGAGTTCCTTTGGCTTAGCCCTGCACTGCACGCTCTAAGGCACTGCTTGGTGTGGCCATGGTAGGTGGTCACAGGCCTGGCTTCCCTCTGCTTGCTGCACTCCTCAGCCCCTGGGAGAACTGCACGTCAAGTCACCATCTATGCCAAGCCTGCTGCGCGTGACAGGACTTGTAGCCCTGCTCACCCATTAGGATGAGCCTGGGCACCACCTGCACAGTAAACAAGGAGGCCGACTGCTTTGCTTTCCCTGCAAGATAAAGGCCAGAAGAAATCAAAGCCCACCCTCCCATTGAGGGCACCTCCTAGGACACGACTAAAAGCAAGTATGGCTGCCTCACTAGCTAGCATAGCGTAAATACACAGTGGGGCAAAATGCTCTTTGCAGCCTCACCCTGCTGCAGCGTGCAGCACCCTCCCCAGGGGTTTGGCACCCCTGCCGCAGGGCCCACGCCTGTGCTGCAGCTGCGTGCTGGCACAGCACCCACACTGTCCGGTTCTCAGGAAGGCACAGTCTGGCTCCTGCAGCTGGCAGCCGAGCTGGTGCTCGCATGACTCATCTCAATGCTGTCTTCTCACACGCTGTGGACACAAACGCACTCATGAACAAGTCTAACTCAGGAAGGGCAATCACCATACTGTGCTGCTTCCCACATTGTTTTCACCGTGACATCTTCCAGACACTTAAATGGAATAGTAGCCTGAAGTACCCCCTCACAAAACTCCAAGGAGATATTTGCTCCCTTCCCCGTGAGCCTGTCTGTCCCTTCCACACTTATTTCAGACTTCAAAGATTTGTCTACCCCTTTCGATATTGGGTGTCACCATCTTTCTGCTTTCCCAGTTTGTCACTGGGCTTACTGTGCAGATGCACTGAGATTGCTACAGCTGCTTGCAGTATGCTACCCCAAACTACTTCTGCGCCCAAGCAGAAAGTAAAAATAAAGAGGGCCGGGGGGGGGGGGGGGGGGGGGGGCAGCAACACGTAGCTGAAGGTCTGATCTAATTGAGGTGATGTCCTTCCCTGCAACACTGACTTGTTCACCTGACAGTTCACCCCCGTCCCCATTAAGCATATGCACATAACAGGACACCACAGGCACAGCTCTTCCTTTTTTCTGAAGTATCAGCACATTTGGGTGTCCTCTGAAGTGCCTGTACACTAACACACACACAGCACAAGGAACAAACAGGAAGGCAGAGATCTGCATGTCCTTGCAGAAGTACGATCTTATTGGGATTGCTGCGGCATGATAGGACAGCCCACACAACTAGAGTGCTGCCATGGATAGCTACAGGTGCCTTAGGAAGTACCAGCTGGGAAAGCAAGAAGGGGACTTGCCCTTTATATGAGAGCAGTAGGAATGCATAATGCTGATGCATTACATCAGCCTGGGGATGTAATGAGCCAGCTGAGCAGTTATTAGTCAGGATTAGAGACCATACCAGTGTTGGCAACACTATGGTGAGTGGCTTTTCTCATCAGCCTGATCAGGAAGCAGCTGCACCTTCTTCAGACAGTTGAAGCAGCCTCATGTTTGCAAGCTCCGGGCCTCCTGGTAGACTTCAATTACCCTGGCACCTGCTGGAGGGCTAGCTGGGCACAAGCAATCCAAACGGTGTCTGGAGTGCATTGATGTCACCCTCCTAACAAAGCTGAGCAAGAAGCTGATGAGGAGGAGAGGTGACGACATAGTTATGAACAAAGTGTTTGGGATGTGACCCATGAGCTAGGAGCATTTGTGATCCTGCAAGGAGGAAGCAGGACAAGAAAAAGGCAGGCACAGCCCTGAACTTGAGGGGAGCAGACTTCAGCCACGGCCGTGAAAGAATCCCACAGGACAAGGCCCTGGAAAGGGGGCCGGGGGCAGTGGGGTGGAATCTCAGGGAGCTGGTTGATGTCCAGTAATTAGCTCCAAGGCCAAGCATGGGCCAGCTTAATGGACATGAAGTCAAGCAAGGGTGGCCGGAGGCCTGCATGGATGAACAAGGAGCTCATGCTAACTCGAATGGAAAAAGGAAGTGTACAAAAGCAGGAAGCAGAGTCAGGTGACCCAGAGTAAGTACAGAGAAACTGCATGACCATGCAGGGATGGTCTTAGGAAAGCCAAAGCCATCTGGAGCTGAATATGGCAAGGGGCATGAAGGGCAACAACAAAGGAGTCTGACTAAATAAGCAGCAGAAAAAAAGACTAGGGAAAGCGTGGGCCTGTTGTTGAACAGGAATAGGGCTCTGGTGACAAAAAAGTCACAGAAAAGGCTCAGGTACTTAATGCCTTTGTCTTTACTGGTAAGACCAGCCTTCAGCAATCCCTGGTGCAGCAGCAAGGTCCTGAGCAAGACTTACTTTTAGCGGAGAAAGATCAGGCTAAGGAACACTTGAACAGGCTGGACATGTACCAGTCCCTGGGCCCTGAGGCGATTCAGCCTCAGGAGCTGAGGGAGCTGGCAGCCAGCATCTGATCACATGCTTGATTATCTTTGAAAGGTCACAGTAATCAGTGGTGGTGCCTGAGGACTAGAAGAACCAAGTGTCACCCGGTTTCAAAGAAGGGCGAGAAAGAGGATCCAGGAAAGAGGCAGGTTAGCATCCACTTGACCCCCCCCCCGGCAAGGTAATGAAGGCACCATTCCTGGAAGTGATATGTGCTGTGCACGACAAGGTGAGCAGAAGTAGTCGGCATGGATTTACGAAGAGCAACTTGTGCTTAACCAGCTTGCTAGCCTTCAACAAGACAACTAATGCTGGATGAGGGGAGCACAGTGGCTGCTGTTTATCTTGACTTTAGCATGGCTTTCAACGCTGTCTTGCCATAATATCCTCATATGCAAACTGAAGTAGTGTGGACTAGATAAATGGACAGTGAAATGGATGGAAAACTGGCTCACCTGCTGGGCTCAAAGGCCTGATCAGCAGCATGACGTCCCACTGGAGGCTCATCACTAGCAGTGCCCTCCACCCC